CCTCTAAACACAGCTTCCAGCCCAGGCTGACCCTCCCCAGCGTCCCCTTTCCCTCCGATGCCTCGAGCTGCTGGGTCCGCGGAGCCAGTCTACCCTACCCACTTCCAACAGGGCTCTAGATGGGGTAGGCAGAGATGTCCGTGACTGCTGTTAAGAACTAGCCAAAAGCCGATGGGCGGATAAATAAAGTGTGTTACATACATGCAGTGGGATAATATTCAGCTTTAAAAAAGAACTTTTGATAGATGCTACAACATGGGTGAGCCCTGAGGACATTATGCTCAGTGACATAAGCCAGTTCCAAAAAGACAAATATTGTACGATCCCACATATGTGATGAGGTGCCCAGAGAAGTTGAATTCATGGAGACAGGATAGAATGGTGGCGGCCAGCGACTGGGGCGAGAGGGGGATGAGGGTCAGGGGAGGCTTGATAGGTACAGAGTTTCCGTTTTGCAAGATAAAAAGACTTCTGGAAAGTGATTGCACAACAGTGGAAATGTACTGAACACGACTGAACTACATGCACACAGAAAAGTGGTTAAGATGGTAAAATGTATCACAATTTACAAAAATAATCATAACTAGCTTCACATGAACCAGCAAAGGAGAACGAACTGGCCCAGAGAACGCTCTCTGGTGCTGGAGTCCAGTTAGTTATTCACGCTTTCCATGCAGCTGGCTCTTGTGCATAACGGACAGCTCCAGGATTTAGTGGCTTAAAGCAACCACCACCGATTTGGGTGAGGATCTGGTTTGCAGTTGGGGTTGGCTCTGCTGATGCTGGGCGGTGGGGCGGGCTGGCTCACCTCGGCTCCACAAGGTCTCTCTGCCCCCAGCAGCCCAGCCCAGACTTGTTCAGACAGTGGTGGCAGCAGGGGTCCCGAGAGAATGAGCAAAAGCAAGCAAAGCCCTATGCGGCCATGGCTCGCACCCACGCACAGAGTCTATGGTGGGAAACAAGTCAGAATTCACAGGGTGGGGAGATAGGCTCCACCCCTTACTGGGAGGGGCTACAAAGGATTTTTGCAATCGGCCACGTACACTGTATATGTATGCCAGACCCTGTGCTATGTGTTGAAGATAAAAATATAAAATACCATGACGTGTAGAAGGCATGTAAATAAATCATTGCAGCACATAGTATGCTCTAAAGTAGCGGTTCTCAACCTGTGGGTCGCGACCCCTTTGGCGGTCGAAGGGCCCTTTCACAGGGGTCGCCTAAGACCATCCTGCATATCAGATATTTACATTATGATTCATCACAGTAGCAACATTACAGTGATGAAGTAGCAACGAAAATAATTTTATGGTTGGGTCACAACATGAGGAACTGTATTTAAAGGGCCAGAAGGTTGAGAACCACTGCCTAAAGGCAAGCACAGGGTGTTAGGGGAGCCTGCAGAGGAGGAGGTCGGAGGACAAGAGGACAGAATAGTACCTTAAGGGGTGTTGAAGAACAAGTGGTAATTAGCCAGAAGAGGGGCAGGGAGATGAGTGAAGGCCTGGAGGGGGCCCTGCCTAGGGGAGGCTTCAGTGGGGAGGGAAGGGCCCCCCTGGAGTGGAGGACTGGGGTGGGGGTGGGGGTATGTAAGCAGCGCTGACAGCCGAATTGCTGTGTGGAGCACATCCCATCCCACAGGTGGGGCAGCGGATTCTACAGGTGCGGGGTGCGGGGTGCGGGGTGCTGGCGGAGTGCACTCTGATGCCCCAGCGCTGGCCAGACTCCGCCCAGGCCTGCAGACCACCCCACCTGGGCACGGGGCTGGGAGGCATCCAGGAGCCCAGTCCCCCAAGCCCCGCAGACATTAAGGGGTTGTCTTTTATCGAGACGGGGGGAGGGGGCGGGAGGGCAGCTGGTGCCCAGAGCTGGCGCTGGCTTCCTCCTATAGATCCCAGGTCGTGATGCCCCAGAATGCCGCCTCTCCGCGGGGCGCTGGGCCGGCGGCCATGAGCACATAACGGCCGATCAGCACTTAGAATGCGCGTGGGGCCCTGCTGTGAGAAGGAACCCCCTGGTGAGCACTTTCAGAAATTGAAAAATCCTTCTGAAACTGAGTAACCCAGCGATTCAATGCAGGTCTCTGCATCGTGGGAGTAGACAGGGCTGCCGTTACGATGACCTGGATCTCTAAGCACCTTCCGGATCCTCCCGGAATTCCCCAGGAGGAGGCGTTGCTGCTGGGGCTGGGACCTCAGTGTAGGAGTAGAATCTTCCCAAGCAATCAGGATGCCTGGGGCCCAGAGGGAGCGGCCGTCTGATGCGGCCGTGTTTTCCAGCTCCCTGAGCAGGGTGGGCTCAGCAGGCGTGTGCGGCTGCATCTGTCACTCACGGCAGTGTGACGAGGGGGCAGGGAGGAGGTTAACGGAGCAGGTCCCCTCGGTGCTCGAGGGAACTGAGGCCGAAAGCTGGGGCAGCGTGCCCGGGGTCACACAGCCAATTAGTGGCGACATTGGGATGAGAACAGCGTCCAGGTCTTTGCAATTCCAGCCCAGAGCTCTTCCCCCCACACTGCTCCACTCCAAAGGTGGCATCGCCCACCCGGCTCAGGGTGTGGGAGTGAATTCAGTTGGTGGCGCTTTTGAACGCTGATGTGTGAGCATAGCCATTCAGCCTTAACCCAGCCTGACCCTGCATCTCCCTGAGCGGGCTCTCCACGCCCAGGCCACAGGTGCCCACAGCCTTGCCTCCAGCCCAGGCCCAGCCTCCGCCTCCTGCACCCTCCAACCCCCGTGTCCCACAGGCCCTAACCCTGACCCCAAAACTACTAGTAAACTCATCATCCCCTCCCTTCCCCATGTCCCTCCAGAAACTTGGACGTGGTCCTCACGCCTCCCCCGCCCGCCCCCTCCCCCTCTGAGGGCCACAGCACCCGCAGCCTCCGTGCTGGGCTTGCTCTGTCCTGTGACTGTTCGAGTCCAGGCCTCCGTCAGTCCTCACTTGGATTATGGAGCCGTCGCCACCATCAACAATAACAGTGAGTCTGCCGCGTATCCCTTAGGCATTTCTCCGTGTCAGCAGCTAAGAGGGGTGTTGATTCCCTTTCCCCAGGTCACGCAGCCGATGGGGGCAGAGTTCAGGTTCTCCCAGGCCTGACTCTGAGGCCCAGCTTCTTGCCTCCAGCTGTCCCTCCCTGTCCTGCCTCTAACGGGGCTGCCAGCGTGATATGTCGGAGCCCAGGTCTAACCTGTCACTCCTTGCACGGCTCCCTGGCGGCTCCCTGGTGCCCAGAGGTCAAACCTCAGTCCCCTCAAAAGCCTCGTGAGATCTGGCCCTGCCTGCCCACCCATCGCATCCCCATCCCCCCCAGGCCCCGTTCCCCTGTATCTGCCCCCAGCACCTCCATGCCCTTCACCCCACGCTTCGCGCTTGGTGTCCTGCTGCTGGTCTGGGCACACCTGCGAGCAGCCTTCCAGAGGCCTCAGCAGCGCCCCCTGCAGGCGGCCCGCTGCGACTCCAGCCTGGTGGATGTGGGGATGGTGGGGGTCAGTGACTTGCCATTGCCCTACACCTCGGACCTACCCCCCCCCCACCACGTGTGGGTGTGCTCACCGTGTCCCGTGGTCTTCGGCAGCCAGAGGCCCAGGTGGCCTCCCAAGGAAGAGCCTGCCTGACCTCGAGCCCCCGGGCCCTTGAGTATCTGATCTTCACCAGGTTCTGGGAATAGAGTGGAGCCTGCACCCCCCCTTTCACAGATGGAGGACCAGAGGCTCAGGGCGCGTGGGGGCTACTCGGGGGCATTCAGCTGTCAGAGGCAGCGCTGGGCTCAGCGGGCATCTTGGCAGCAGTCAGCGCTGCCCGTGTGCACAGATGACTAGCCAGACCGGCGCAGGGCGCACCGGCGGGTAACTCCTGGACCCGGAGGTCTGGGCTGCTGGGAGCGGCTTAGCGGACAGGGCTCCGTTTCGCAGGCCACCTTCTCCCATTCCCCTGCCAAAGGACATAACCTGCCTGACAACAGTCTACGTCATTCTGGACCCAGAATCGGGGCCTCTGCTGTCCAGCTACCAGCAATGCTAAGGGCAGTCTCTGTCCAGGGCTGCAGGGACAGGTGGGCACGGTGAGGCTTGTGGGAACACCGGTCATCCAAAGGCCCTAACTTTGGCAAATGAAAGTGTTTATAGAAAGTAAGCAGGTGGTGGTCAGCCTCTCCTCCTTCCCCCTTCCGAGCCTGGAGATGGGTCTGGGAGAAGCTCTGACCGCCCCCCCAGGTTCAGAGCCCATGGGCCTGGGGCACTCTCTCTGCCAGCCCCGGGGCCAAGACGCCAGGCAAAGGTAGGTGTGCGTCAGGGTGGGCAGGTCCCGCTGGGGCTGCAAGCCAGGCTCTCCCGTGCTGAAGGGGCCCGGAGGTGGGAGAAGGTACAGACGGTCTCGGCCCCTGGCCTGCTCCCCAGGCCCCCCCTCCATCCACCCTTCCCTTCACACTCCCCTCCCTCCCAAGAAGCTCTCCCAGCCACGGCCGACTGTCTAACAAGGGGCGCTGTTTTTGCAGGTGTTGTGGTCTCTATTCCTTTGAACCATATCAGCCCATCCTCCATCGCAATGCCATGCTTTACTTGGTACCAAGCACGTCGGCACTCATTGGCATTTGGAGACCTTGTTGCGTAGCGATACGCAGTTCCTAACTGTCTGTGATAACGTATTCTCTGTGTTCCCAACTGTCACTGCGGGACTCTCTTCCCCGGACTTTCAGTTTCTGGGTTTTATTTTTATTTTTTTATTTTATTTGTATTTTTTTTGTTTTGTTTTGTTTTGTTTTTTTTGCTTTTGAAAGTTGTGATCCCCGGGTCCTGTGGCCCCCCGGTTGCCGCTTGTCTATGCATTATGTTTGTGACTTCTGACTGTCAGTGTTGAGCCAGTCTTGCCAAGAAACAGTATCAAGTATTTTCCTATTTCTCTACTTCTTGGAAAAAAATAATTTTTTTTTTAATTTAAAATTTGAAAGAAAAAAAAAAACTCTTAATGGGAACCTGGCCCTGTCTGTCTTCTCTGTTCTGCAGAAATGTTGAAGGAATTGAACCAGCAGCGCAGAGCGAAAGCCTTTACAGACCTGAAAATTGTTGTTGAAGGCAGAGAGTTTGAAGTCCACCAAAATGTTCTAGCTTCCTGCAGCTTGTATTTCAAGGACCTGATTCAAAGGTTTGCCTTCCTTCCAGCTGTGGTCGGGTCTGTTCCTTTGTAGGACGCTTTTGTGTCGCTTCTCTCCTCCCCTCTCTTGCAGGTTCCTGAAGTGTGACTCCCTGTCACAGAGCCAGTAGCCATCTCTCCTCCCTCCCCTCCCCAGCACCCTCTCACACGCAGCCTCAGAGCAGCCACGGCCCCCAGCCCGCCCCACTCAGCTGTGCTGGTCGCCAGGGGCCTCCGCCAGCAGTAGACCACACCCCTGCCCTGCCCCGAGGAGCTGGGGTTCTCAGTGGCTCACAAGCCCTCCCTGAGATGAGGAGGACTGTAGACCCCACGTGAAGGGACCACTGCACACTGCCCCTCGGTGTACCCAGCACCATCGTCACTGCTGTCGATGGTGAACTTAAAGCCAGAAAAGCACATCGACCAGCCCCGCCCCCCTGAGGAGCACGAGGCACCCACAGGCTGCTTTTCTGCAGCCCGAGTCGGGAGAAGAGGCTGTAGCCAAAGCCTCGTTCGGGCAGCCTGTCCTGATACGGGTACACTGAGCCCAGGCCAGGTGTGTCCTAAACACGGGCTCTCTCAGCGTCTGCTCCCTCCCCACCTGCCCTCGGCCCCGGCTATTTCTACCTGAATGAGTCTTCATGGTACATGGGCATCTTTTTCTTTTTCCATTACGTTGATTTTTTAATTTGTCTGCTTCATACCCTTGCCAAGAAGTCAGGGGCCACCTTATCTAGCTCCGTAGTGAGGGAGAGCAGCGGGGGGCCGCCCAGGGTCACACTCCTCTCTCTCCCCCATCAGCAGATTAATGCCGCTGCTCCTTTTGCCTTGCAGCCTCCGGGGCGGACGCTGAGCCGGGACTGTGCTCAGAGTGGGAGGACAGGACCTCTGCTTGCTTCCCAATGCTGTGTTCGGACTTGCCAACTAATCCCAGAGCGACTGTGTTTTGTTTCAGGATGGCACCCTGGCTGGCATCTCCTTCCCAATCCGTTGTGTCCTTTCACTTAGAGCTGAGCTGCCCGGCGTGCAAAGCCCTGCCCGGCCGCGTGGGGCCCAGCCATGCAGGAAGGGGCAGGCTCTTGGTGACTTCCAGCCTCGTGGGCAGCTTGGGTCTCCCGCCCCCGCTGCCTGGGTTCTCTCTGTCTGAGCACAGGGGTCAGGGGCATGAGCTGGGGGGTAAAGGGGCATGTCCAGTGGCTTCTCCAGGCCAAGGGAGGTCTTTGTGCTTCTACTTTTGGCAAATTCTAGTACGAGCAGTGATGGCACCTGGCTGCTGAATTGCAGATGTGGCATCCTAGGCCCTTGGTCCTGCTCCAGACCAGCTGGAGAGCACAGAGGGGCAGGCTGCAGGGGCAGGTTGGCACTGAGCAATGGCCCAGCCCTGGGCTAGAAAGATGTGGGCCAGAGGAACCCAGGAGCCCTTTGACTGTCGTCAGAGACCTTACCTGCAGACCTTACTCTTGCACACAGCAGAGAAGGCATGCTTAGGTGGAAACTCAAAGTAGTGAAGGCTTCTGGGACAGGCCAAAAAGAAGGAGGAAGAACATTCCAGGCAAGGGATAGGTTGCCTGGAATGTTCCAGACTGCAAAGAATGTTCTGGAATGTTATAGAATGTTCTAGGCAAGGGATGGGTTGGCTGGAATGAAAAGTTGAGAACAGAGAGAGTCATGAGCATTGAGGAGGGGGAGATGGCCTTCCCAGAGAGGGGGTGTGACGTGGGATGGGATGGGCAGACAGGCCCTGACTCCTGGGCTAGGGCCTGGACTTGCAGGGGCTATGAGGAGCACTGGGGAGGGGCTGCCCACCTGCAGGTGGGAGAACGTGGGAGCTAAGAGGCAGACACTGGAGGAGAGAGGGTACCTCCTTGGGAGCTAGGAGACCTGGGTGCTACGCCTGCCTCTGCCACCTGTCCTGTGACCCCAGCACATCACGGCCTCGCTCTCAGGCATCGGGTTGTCTCATCTGTAAAGGAAGAGGTTGGCTCAAATGACGTCGGGGCTTCTTTCCAGCCCTGACTTCCCAGGTGACGGCAAGGGGGTGAGCAGGGCAGCCTGGAGGGCTTCCCAAGTACAAGCACTAGATGTGAGAAGGTCAGGGTCACGGAGGGAGGGAGGTCGGGTGGATGGAGCCCAGAGAGGCCTGAGGTCTGGGGAGACAAAAAAGCCCCTCAGGGAGGAGGGGAGGCCCAAGCCGAGTCCAAAGGAGCCCCTACACTTGAAGACCAAAATGTTCATTTGTAGCCATTTTAAATGTGACTTCCCTGTCCTCACTATGGGCACAGGTCACCATTGCGGGTGACATGTTCCCGCTCCAGCCCCAGGCGGACACCTCCCCAGGAGCCACAGGACAGACGTAGGGCTGCCCTGTCACGCACTGCTCTCCGCTCAGCGCACCAGCAGGGCCACTCCTGGGCGCCGGGTCCCACACGAAACCCTAGACAAGATGGGCTGTGCCGTCCGGGAGCACGGGGTCTGGCCGGAGAGACACGTTCTAGGGAGAGGGGCATCCGCATGGGTTTTGAACCGAGAATGGGATTGGCCAGGCAGACAGTGGGACCGACAGGAGAGGAGCGAGTGTGAGGCCCAGGACAGCAGGGGACACTGCAGCTGGGATGCCAAGTGCGAGGTGAGCGTGGAGGGGATGAGGCCTATGCAGGGGCGAAGGGGCAGGAGCCAGGTCACAGGGCTGTTTCCGGCCTGGGGGTGTCATGGTCAGATTTGTGTTTGTGAAGATGCTATTCAGACTGGGAGGCGGAGGGCAGGTCTCAGAGCAGCCTCTCCCGACCAGCGGCCAGTTCCCCTTCCGCTCAGCTGCCCGGAGCCCCCATCCTCCAGGCCCAGGCTCCAGGCCGACCCCGACTTGGTCCACATGTTCTTCCTTCACATGTTCAGACCTTTGGTGAAGCTGCCGCAGCTCCTTTCCCCTGGCCTCCCCGTATTTAGTTCCATCATCGTCTTCTTCCTCCGATGAGGGCAAGACCAGCCCACAGGAGGCTTGTCGAGGTGCCGCATGTCATCGTGGAAACCCTCCCAATAACCTGAGAAGCAGGTGCCATGCGTATCCCCATTTTACAGAAGAAGAAACTGAGGCCCAGAGAAGTTATGTAGCCGATAGATCTGGGATTCAAATAGAGATCTGACTCCAAGCTCAGATGCTAATCTGTGAGGAAGGACAGTGAAATCTCAGGGCAGCACTGTGGATAGGCGTGCAAGAGGTAGGGATGCGGAGTACATGTGAATGTGTGTGAGTGCGTGCGTGTGTGTGTGTGCACGCGCGCACATCTATTAGAAACACTTGTAACTGGCCCGAGGATCTTCCCGAGTAGACACACCCACCTGGGACAGGTACCTGAGTCACAGGCCCTCCCTCCCGCCCCTGCGGGGGGGGCTGAGTCCTCTGGAGTGAGGCCGTGTGAAGAAGAGCACAGGAGGCCTCGGGGAAGCTCAGAGCCTGTGCTGAGCCCCTGGCCCTGCCTCAGCTCCCTCTGTAGCCCCATCCGAGTCCCCGTGGCAGTCCGGGGCGACCGCCCTGCAGGAAAGGAGCTGTGGCTTTGTCTTTGGAGAATGTGAAGGCCAGGGCTGTGTAACAAGCACGCCCGGCCTGTGTCCAGGCCAGAGGGAAAACCCAGAGGATTCAGTGGGGGAGCGCCCCAGGCTTGGGGAGGAAGGAGGATCTTTTGAGCAGAGTAGACCTAGTGGGGTGCTGGGGTTGCAACCTCCCAAGTCCAGAGCCATTCCCACCCCGGGGAGCGGGCCCTGGAGGAGTGGCTCCCTCGCCTGCTCCCTGGCTGCGAGGAGCTCTCAGGGAGGCTGGAGCCCGCTGCGCTCACCGGCCCCACGGGCTGCAGGCCCCGTCAGAGAGGACAGGGGACTGTTCATCTTTGGAGACGGCAGAGGTGCCACCCTCCCTGCCAGTACTTCCCAACACGCTCCCTGGGTCCAGAGGGAGGAAGTGCATAGCCTCAGGGAAGAGATGCCTCCTCATCCCACCAATAGGACAGGGACCTGGCCCTCTGCCTCCCAACCACAGCGCAGCGACACCTTGAACTATATGGTCTCTGTTCCTATGGAATGAAAGTGGATGGACAGGTTGATCTCACAAGCCCCGTGCACAGGCTCTGGGTTCCCGTCCGTCTCCCTCCCCAGGGGAAGCTAACAGGACCTGAGTGGCACAGATCCTGGACGTAGGGGCACCCACTAGACTTCAATGCAATAGCCAAGCCGGACGCCTCTCCTCTCCTTCCCGGTGCAGCGGGGCGTTTCTGGGTGGCAGCCTGCCTCTTTCCTGGTGGAATAGACAGGTGTGTCTGGAAAACCAGATACCAAAAGGAGGGACTCACACATCTCAGAGGCTGGCAGGATGAGGCGAGCCAGGCCATCCCCAAGTCACTGTGGGTGGGCCAGGGCCTGGGTGAGCTGCCCAAGTCCTTGGGACCCAAGTATTCCTCTGCGGCTGAGTGGAATGCCCATGTCTGGCATCGGGTCCTGGGGGCCTCCAGCCACTACCCAAAGATCCTTTGCCCAATGGCCCCCTCTTCTCCAGGTGCCCCCCCACCGGGTGCCTGAAGGAGCAGAGCCACAGCTATAGGCCGTAGGGACAGCGGTGCTCTCCAATCCTGGACAGCACTTGTAGTGGTGGACATCCGTGTGCCTCCATGCAATCCCTGTGCTCCCCAGCCGTGCAGGCACCACCTGTCCCAGCCGCTCCCAGGCTCAGACTCTGGGCAAGACCAGCCTCTCCCCACGAGGAAAGCCTGCTGGTCCCACTACACCCATCGCTCACCTGCAGCCACAGGCTCCACTGACCATCTGCTCAACACCCCTCCTCACAGGTGATCTTGGGGTTCTCAGGACCACATGTCAGTGCGTGCATATGCGTGTACATAGGTGTGTGTGTGTGTGCGTGCGTGCGTGCACGTGTGCATTCTGAAGTCCCACCCCAGCAGGTCACTGCATTTGAGCTCCTCCGCTGAGGACTCATAGGCAGGAGGGCTGGCCAGAGGAGGAGACACAAAGGCTGAGGCCTTGGGAGAAGGGGAGCAGCCCTACTGTGGCCTCGTCGGCCTGGCCCTGCTATGGCCCAGGGTCACCTCCGCGAGCACCAAGGGCATGAGGAGGACAGGCCAGACAGGTGCATGTAGGAATGAAGGCAGAGGCAGCAAAGACTTAGAGGTTGACCAGATGACCTGGGGTGTTCCGGATTTCTGTGGTTTCGAGCGATCACATAAGGAACTATTTTTATACTTACCCACGCCACGCCGACATGGACATCCCTCCCCACAGCAGAAGGCTCGGTGGTTGTCACTTTCGAAAGTGCACACACCGTATACCCGTGGGTTTGAGAACGGGCTCTGCTCAGACTCTGTGTAGCACACCTTCCCCTCTCAGCTGCCGGGGCTGCAGGCCCCTGTGGGTGAGCCATTCTGTGGGGATGGACTTGCTCAGGCAGCCGGTAGCAGCTGCCCCTGCCCAGCCAGGCCATATCTGTGCTTTCATGGCCCTTGGTTGCCAGCGCCCACCCAGAGAGAGTGCTCTGACGCAGGCATTTCAGGCACTGCGGGGAGAGCGGTCTCGCGGGAAGGGTGTTCCCCACGGGACTCTAGACCTCACCCGGTTCAGCCTCTTGTTTTGCAGAAGAGGAGCCTGAAGGCCAGAGAGGTCACGGCTGTGCCCGTCAGTGACAGCGCCGCGGCACCCAGGTCCCCGAGCTCCCTGCTAACAGGAGGAGGCCTCTCTGGGGCCAGCCTGCTCGCTTGCCAGACACTCCATACCCTACTGCCAGCCACAGGGCACCCAGGGGACCAGGCAGGAGATCTTGGCCCCTGGCCGCCTCAGGAGTCGGAGGGGGGGCGTGGCGGGTAGGTCATTTCCCAGGACCGTGGCTGGACCCAGCCCAGGCAGAACTAGGCTCGGTGAGAGGCGGTGCGGGCCAGGGCGGCTGAGACGGGTGCCAAGCTGATCGCCTCTGAGAAACCTGCCTCCTGACTCGCTGCTCGGGTGTCTTTCTTCCTGTACTGCTGTGACTTTTGCTTCATCTTATCTGTTTCCTTCCAGGTCCAGCTTTAGGGTGCGGCTGCCAGGCCTTAGGAGCCTTTGCAATGGTTTTTGTATTCCTGTAGACACCAGATATAAACATATTTATATATTTGTGTCCCTCCCCCGCTCCCCCCAGTTCACAAGCCCGATGCACACTCTACACGCAGGCCACTCTGACCTCTGACCCCGTGTTCCATGTGGCAGGAGGGCCCCGCCCCGGGCCAGGTCCCAGGTCATGGCTGCTGGCTGTCTGTGGCGGAAGTCCTTGGTTGTCCCCCCTCCCCTCCTCCCGGCTCTAACCATTCTGTCCGTCTGTCTCGTCTCGTCCTCAGTTTCAAAGCAATGTCATGAAGGGCTTCCTCCTCGTGCCTAAAAGGAAACAATATGCTTTTTGGAAAGAGGTGGGGTTGGAGTCAGTGTCCGGGGCAGCGTGGGGCCCTCAGTCTGGGGTGTTCAAGGACGTCTCCGGAGGGGCTGTGAGCGCAGCCCGTGGGGAGCCTCGGTCACGCGGGAGAACCTCCCGTCGGAGGCAGACGGGCCCCAGGCCCGGGGCCTGCTGGCCGTGTTGGCGGAGACGCCGGGCCAGCAGCAGGCCGAACCGTATTGTTTCCCTTTGCGGCCAGTCCGGTCCTCGTCCCCATCCTCCGCTCATGCTTTTTGATTTGCATCTCTTTTTGCATGGACATGCCGAGTAGTGATAAGCAGGCTTTCTGTTCTTTTTGGGCGTCTCTGGTCAGACTCTTCTCTTTCAGATCCCGCGTGAGGTCGTTAGGTTCAGGTGTGTCCCTGCCGTGTCCCTAAAGTGAAGGGCGTGACCGAGGCATGCAGGGAGCCCCAGCCCTGTGAGGAGCGGCCGAGGCCGCGGGCGGCAGGTAAGGACGCCTGGTCTCTGTGCCTAGGTCGGTGCAAGACGGCAGCCAGAGCGGCCGGGAGAAGCTGGAGCTCGTCCTGTCCGACCTGCAGGCGGACGTCCTGGAGCTGCTGCTGGAATTCGTGTACACGGGCTCCCTGGTCATCGACGCGGCCAACGCCAAGACGCTGCTGGAGGCAGCCAGCAAGTTCCAGTTCCACACCTTCTGCAGAGTTTGCGTGTCCTTCCTGGGTGAGCCGGGAGCGCCTGGGGCGGAAGTCCTTGGTTGTTCCCCCTCCTCGTGCCTTTTAGTGGGCTGTCCCTTGGACACACAGACCTGCTGTCCGGGCTGGGGATCTGAGTGTCGGGGACCTCCAGCCGGAGAACACACTTATTCTACAGCTTGGAGCTGCCCGGCTTCGGGGAGAGCAGGGTGAGAGTGGGGTAGGGTTGAGTCACCAGAATCCGTGGCCTGAGCATGGAGTGCAGCCAGAGAACTAGGGGCTGAGCCTAGAGACAGGAGGCCATGGGGGGCGGGGGGAGGGGGGCCCGGATAGAGCAATCTAGGAGGGCTAGGAACCACAGCCTCAGAGTTAGGCTCCCGAAAGTACGGGCGTCCTGGGACCCAGACATTTCTAGGCTAGAATAACCGTCAGTGGGGTCTCGGGGGAGTGACCAGGCTGAGCCCAGGTCTACAGGTCGGCGGGGTGGACTGAGGCCCGTGGGCGATGGTGGGTGGCATAGATGGGGTATTACTGCTCCCATGACTCTGAAGTCGGAGTGTGTGACCCCAGGCACGCCCTTCACACTGACGGGAGACACCATAGGCCTCTAGTGTGACCCCACCCCCTGCCCCGTGGCCCACAGGCAGTGAGGAAGCTCTGCACCTCACAGTCCTCTGCTGGGACCCGCAGGAGCAGAGGGAGGGCCTGGGACAGTCAGCGGGAGGCGGGGCAGAGGGGAACCCCGGAAATGGACACAGGAAGTGGGCTCATGGGGACCCTGGATGCTGGAGGCAGGTCCCAAGGCCATGGGCTCAGAGAAGGACCCAGAGGGACAGGTAGCTCCCATCCAGGGCCCCCTGGTCAGTGGTCACGTGTTCTCGTCCCCAGAGAAGCAGCTGACGGCCAGCAACTGCCTGGGGGTGCTGGCCATGGCGGAGGCCATGCAGTGCAGCGAGCTCTACCACATGGCCAAGGCCTTCGCACTGCAGATCTTCCCCGAGGTGGCGGCCCAGGAGGAGATCCTCGGCATCGCCAAGGACGACTTCATCGCCTACATCTCCAACGACAGCCTCAACACCAAGGCCGAGGAGCTGGTGTACGAGACCGTCATCAAGTGGATCAAGAAGGACCCTGCGTCCCGTGCACAGGTGAGGCCTGCCCCTCCTTCCGGCCCCGCCCCGCTCGGGCGCCTGGGCAAGGAGGCCGGAAGGTAGAGGAGGCCGGGCTGCCCGTGGGCCCGGCCACAGGGAGGCTGGAACTGCTCCGGGGGCAGCAGACGGGCGAAGGGAGGAGTGAGAGATGCAGAATCAGGCCCCTGGTTCTCCAGGGCTGGCATTCCACTGGCAGACCCAAGCTGACCAAGAGACCGCGGGATCTGGGGGACAACGTCGGGGCCCTTCGGGGAGAAGTGTGCCCGAGCCAGGGCACCCGGCGCTCCCCTGAGCTCAGACCAGCAGGAGGAGCACCCATGCTCTGGTTCCTGGGAAGGTGGAGGGCAACCACCGTACACGGGACCCAGGAAGCGAGGCCCTGAGAGCGGGCAACTGGAGCAATCAGGGCCAGGGCCAGGCAGGAGGAAAGGGGGCAGGGTCCCAGGGGCACCTGAGTCCCAGGAGGATCTCGGGGCCCGAAAGCCCCTCTGGAGGCCCCTCAGAATGGAGCTGCCCAGCTCCCACATGGGAGGACCCCTGGGAGCTAGTGTAGCTGCACAGTTGCCATAGCCACCTGCTCACAGTGCCTCCTCCCTCCCTCTCCCCCACCAAGGCCTCCCTAGCCTCCAGGATGCCCAGTCACCCCTGAGGGGTCCTGCCTCCGTCTCCTCCAGATTCATTCCCACCCTGCAGCAGCCTCTGCACAGTGGCAGGTCCAGGTGCCAGTCTGAGGCCATGGGACGCCCTAAAGGGGTTTGGCTGTTGGTGTTGGGGAGACCCAGGTTCTGACGGTTGTGATTTGCAAGCTTGTCAGTCATCATCTCCTTTCCAAAGCTGATGGCCACCAGCTTCCCTGGCCCTCCCACCTGCTGCTGGGTGCCTGCCCCATGCACACCTCTCCGAGGGCCGGGCCGTCCATCTCAGCCCCCGCAGTCTGGCCTGGAGCAGAGGCCCGTGCTGGGGTGGAGGTGGGAGCGAGGTGCTGCCAAGACAGATGGGAGAGTGGAAGGGAGGGGGAGGGACAGAGAGAAAAACATTGACGTGAGAGAGACACGTTGATCAGTTTCCTCCCACATGAGGCCGACCAGGGCCAGGGATCAAGCCTGCAACTGAAGTCCATGTCTTTGACCGGAATGGAGCTCACGACCCTTCCGTCCCAGGGCTGACGTTCCAACCACTAAGCCAAACTGGCCAGGGCGAGAAGCTAGCTTTCTTGATTCCCAAGCCAGTGTTCTTCCATCTGATTATTCCCCAGCTTGCCTCTGCTCCAGTCAAGAAAGTCTACTGATTGTTTAAACACAGAATCTCCCATGGTCTTATCTGA